AACTTTGGGCATGATCTGACCCTTTGGAGCCTCTGATTCCTCATCAGTAAGCTGGGGCTATGATAATCACAAGCACTCTTTAGGATAATTGGAGCCCAGAGTCTTTTGGCCCCATGTGATGTCTGACATCCTGTGGGATACTACTCAGGCCACCCCGCAGAGAGGGACAATACCTAACACAAGTGCCCTTCTATTCCTACAAAGGGAGGCCTGTTGTGGTTGTCTGGGGGCCTGGAAGACCTGGAGGGCCCACGATCTTCACACCTGCAGGCTCCTGATTGCTGAAGCTGTCTCTATCTAGACCACCAACACATGCCAGTGGGGACAGTTCCTGGATTCTCATTAATTCCTTGCATCTTCTTCAAGTGGAGTTCATGTCTAGAAGGTGAAAATCTTAGGAAGATCTTTGCTAAGAGAGGAGACTCTTTGGTGCCTTGGACATGAATCTAGCTTCTGTTGTGGAGACTGTTTTCATGAAAGGTTAAGCCTACCCTCTAACCACCATGGGGTGAGGAGGTACTCTGGGGAGGGCGGTGTTTGCTTGGGTGATTTCCTGGGTAAGGGATCACGTCCAAATTCCTGGGCATCATTACCCCATCTTGTCTAAGACTTGCCACATATTTTCCATGTGGGATCTTAGAGAAGTTATCTCCACCAAGGAACTTTCATTTTGTTTTGCATACACTAGCCTCTTTGGAGGGTGACTAAGTTGTTAGAAAATGAAGGTATGAGCTGGCCCTTGTTGGGTTACCCCATATGGCCTGAGTTTTTACAATTTAAAGTCACCCTTTAAATTTCTGCCATTTGAAATGGTGGAAACGCCTGCCATCATCATCTGTCAGATGTTTAACCCCTTTCTGAGGAGAATAATAGGATTTGTGTTAAATAGCCCTGCTTCCACCCAAGATGTGGGGGAAAAACAACATATAATAGGCTGCAGGCTCCTTGAGGCTGGGGAAGATCATTTGGGGCAGTAGATTGGAACCAGGCGAAGGTAGCAGGATCAGTGGGGGTTGGGTCCTGGGGACCTGCTCAAATACACCTGGGAAGAGGCCCATCAAAAGAGAGGAGCGAGTTCGTCATGGGGTTCCTTTGCCTGCCTTTGCTTTGAGATGTTTCCTTTTGAACCTCCAAAGTGACAGCCCTTCCTTGATCAAGTCTGGTGTCCCTGGACTTCTAGACAGCTCCAGAGTCCATGCCAATGAAGCAGCTTCCCTGGGCTCCTTTTATGTCCTGTCCCGGTGAGCATAGAGGCCCAGGTTGCTGACCCTGCTCCATGATAAAGCAGAGACCCTGGGTTTCTCACAAGAGCTGAGTCTCATGATCCACTGCATATTTTGTTCCAGCAACAAAATATTGAGCAGACAGACAAAATAGATATGCTATTAAAAAGTACACGCTTAAGGGAATGTTTTCACAGTGTCTGATGAAAGGAAAAGAGGCAGCCCCACCGGTCCAGAGGGAGCCTTCTCCAACACCAAACTGAGCACATCACTGCTGAGCTCCACAGGCTTCTTGTGGCCTGCAGGGCGATGTCTGCACCCTCAGTGGGTTATCTGTGTCCCTGACCCTGGCTCGTTGCCTGCCACTTTCCCCTGGCCTGCTGTGCTCCCGCTGGGCTGGCCTCCCACCGTCTGTCCCTCCAGATGCCTTTTTCACCTATTTGTCACTGCAGTGACTGATCCCTTGGCTTGAATTTCCTTTTCTTCTTTATCTACCTGTTGCCTGGAATGAATGTTGCCTCTTCAAGGAATCCAAAGGTAGAGCCTCACACCCAGGTTCAGGTAATACTCATTCACACCATTTGCAGTGGTTTAATTTTCCCAGTACATAGTGAGCCCTAAAGGGCAAAAACTGTGCTTTACCAAATTCTTTGCCCCTTATCCCCGATTTCAAGTTAGACCAGCCTGCAAGATGGGGCTTCCTAGATCCCAGGCCACGGGAGGCTGCCAGATACTGTGCCTAGGCACTGGCTAGAGACCAAGGTAAAGCATCCCTGGGTGGCTCCCTGGTAGCTTGAGGGAGCAGGAACATGGTTTTCATGAAGTAGAAATTAGATAAGACGAAATTTTCCTGGAGAACCAGGAATGAGTTACTAAAATATATCTGAAATTCTGGGTTTCCCAGAAGAACTGGCATCAGAAAGAAAGAATTAAATTTCCATTTGTGGAGTTCTCTGCTCAGAAGTTTCTAGCCTTATTTTTTCTCCAATAAAATAATTGCTTGGCTGGGGATGTTTGAAGAATATAGTACAGAGAAGGTTCAGCTCCATCACCTGCCTTTTTGGGACTCAGGATTTCATCTCTGAGGAAGGTGTGTTGGTTTCCTCAATTGCAAAATGGAGATGATGGTAATAGCTCCTCGATGGGAGGTACTAAGGAGTAGGCCAGTTGTCACTAGGGACAGTGCCAAGCATGACATCTGGCATACAGTAGACATTTGAAAATGTTGGCTCCCTTTTCTTGACTCATCCATACTTTGGGCAAGACTCAGAGTCCCAGGCCTCATCCCCTTGGCCAATTTTAAACCAAAGCATGAATGGGTGCACAATGGCCTTTTTCAAGATGGCGGCTGTATTTCTCTAGGGAATACAAATTTGGAGATCCAGATTTTCCACAAAGCTGTTACTCTCTCTGTCCTAGCACCCAGGGATCATATTCTGACTAGCCCATATTGCCTTCCCCAGTGGTTGTGCTATCCAAGGTTGGGACCTTTCAAGGCCATGACAGGAAATAAAATAGTTTCAAGAGATATATCTTATAGCTACACATTCAAACTCCCACTCTGTCTTTTTTATTTCCTGACATATGAGACTAAAATTTTACACTCTCAAAAGAAAGTTTCTTTCCACATGTACTTGAGAAAATAATCAAATCTTATCTTCTTGGCTCCTCCTAAAGGAAGCTATCATCCAAGAGACACAGGGTTTACATTAGACAGACCAGACAGAGCCCTGCCCTGGGAAGGTGGTCCCTTTTACAAAGATGAAGTGGAGTAGTGACATTCCCTGCACCCCCTCCCACAGACCACAAAGGAGCATGGAAAACCTTTATCAGTGTGTGCTGTGGGCACAGCTGGTTGGCCAGTGAATGACAGAAGGTCAGGGCCTGGGTTGGGAAAGGAGTACAGATTAGCAGTGGGCCAAGCCCCATGCAGGTTCAATATGAGGATGGACAGTGGCCTCCACTGTGGTCTATTGGCCACTCCAAGGTCACACTGATCCAGACTGGCAGGTATCTGGCACCAGAGGCCCCTGAAGAAGAGAGTGTACAGGGCATCAGAGCAATGACTTCCAAGGTCCCAATTTTTTCCATAACGGCATAGAGAAGCAGAACCCACATCCCCACACTACCAAGGGAACGAGGGAGAAGGAAGTATTGGCCAGCCTCCCACTCTCTAGCACCTGCACAGTTGGCTTGCCATGAGATTCACAAACTTGGAAAGAATGAAAACAAGAGGTCTGGGAACCGGATGTCCAGGGCCTTGCTTGTGGGTGCACTTCTGCTTGGGCCCAGGGCGTGGCTGGTCAGGTGTGTAAGGGAAGCCTGGGCCTGTGAGCGCGGCATCTCCCACAGCTACAGGAAACCCCCTAAGAAGGTGCAGAGCCCACTGCAGAACATGGGACCATCAGTCTTCTCCTTGGAGCTGGGCGCGGGTGTCACTTTTGTGCCTCTGAGCCCAGTCATGCCATTCACAGAAAATGGGGCTCGGCTGCAGCAGCCTGTGGACTCCAGCAGGTTCCCCATCCCATGGGCTAAAAGGAGCTTAAATATTCCAGTGCCACCTCGTATACAAATTTATACTGTTCCTGAGAGGAGGAGAGACGAAGGAGAAGAAACGAGAGAGATGGAAAGGAAAGGGAAAAATGCATTAGATTTGAGATATGCATTTTGAGAAAAACTTTATCTACATCCATTCAGAGTCAATTCAAAATTATCCTCATCTGGACATCCTTCAGTGTTCCCTTGGATGCCTACTCCACCTGAGCTTTCTTTTAACTGCCCAGCTGGGATTGTTCCCTTTCTTCTTACCATTCTGCATATCAGTTCTTCTCATAGGGTAACCTGTGTACAAAATACCCAGGGACAGCTGTTAAAAATGCATCTGCCGATTCAGTAGATCTGGAGTGAGGCTCAAGAGTCTACACACTCCCGGGCAATGCAGATTCTGAGTGGGATCTCACATTGGGTAAGATCACACTTTGAGTAGGTTTAAAGACATTTATATTAAAATCCCTTGTGTATGGCCTGACTCCTCCCTTGCACCAGGTCTTATCTTCTGGGGATCTGCCTCCCCACTCTCTTTACTATCCTTCTCCTACAGTGTCCTAGTTCAATGCTTCATACTGTAAAAATTAGCATAAGTGAATTAGAATAGGATTGGACTGAATTGCAAACATAATTCACACTCTACAAATTCAGAAGCCTTTCCTTTAAGCCTGAGTTAGTGATATTTTCTTAAGGAATGGGTAGAAAGTAAAACAAAGTAGGTGTACCAGGATGAACATTTGCATTACCCTGCAGGAAAGAAAACTTGGGTCAGTTTGGCAGGGGAAGAAACAGGGCAGGCCTAGAGATATGCAGATAGACTGTGCATACTCAGTGAACACCCAGCTGTTGAATGTTTCTCCTTCCTGAAGTCATTTTTCCTTGATTCCAGGGACTACAGTCAGCCCCTAACTGTTGGAGCTTTCGGCACACTCACCAGGGTCTCCACCATGTTGGATTTGTTATTCCTCAATGTTTTCACAATGTGGAACACGTCGATGATGTTCTGCTGCTGGATCATCTCACACACACTGCAGATGGCGCAGAAGGTACCACTGCGGCCTCCCCCATTTCTAAACAGAGAGTGAAGGGGTAAGCCATATCCCTGGGTGCCCCCGACCCCAGCTCCTGCTGATCTTAGCGCCTCATGGTAGGAGTGAAGCCTGCAAGATGAGGCATCAGGGTGAGAACTTAAGCCTCAGTTGTGAGCTCTGGCTTGAGTTCCATTTGTGCCCTGAAAGCTTCTTTGACTGGAGGCAAGTCCCTCCCTATCTGGGCCCCAGTTCCCCATTCCTGTAATGGAGGCATTGGACTAGAAGACCATAGAAGATATAATTAGTTCTCCTTGTTTCCATGAGCATGATACAGTCACCCAGGGCACCCTGGCTGAAGCCCCCAAGACAGGAGGATATTGTGTCTTTGTTCACGTGACATCTGTGTCCTTGTCCTACAGGATGCTCTGGGTCTACCTTCATATCCAGTGAAGACAAAGGAAGGTGCCAGGTGATTTTCCTTATGATGTCTTCCTACTCTCCACTAAGGGAAGCCTAGGGTCAGCCAGCCCAGGCTTGAGACTGTGGGCCTGGGAGGCTGTATCCTGAAATAATAGGTCTCTACTTGCACATCTTCATTTGAGCAGGATCCTACTGATGTTGAGTCTAGGGGAAAGAGTACTCTGGGTAGGACCATGTCTCTGTCATTCCTTTCTGAAGCTTTATAAATCATCTTCACGGAAACAGCCCTCAAACTCTTTATAGAGAGTTCCTCCAGGAATTTACCTGATTCTAAACTCCTGGGCCCATTGCCAAGAGCAGCTAATGATTTCATGTAATGGTGTGTGTCTAAAGAACATCTGGACAGAAACGAAGGCACTCAGTCAGCCTCCCAGATGTTCTAGCTACAGGATATCCCATGACCAGATGCTTCAAGTACAGATAGTTGTCCTTCTTCCGCTGGATGCTGCCTGCATTTCAGTGGCTGTTGTGGTGCCTGGGGTCCACAAGGATGCTAGGTTCCTATTCTCTGTGGGCACAGTGTCAATCCTGTGTTTTCTTCCTGTTCAAACCGCTGGCCACCTTGGCTAGAGGATACATGGATAAAAAGGCACTATTGCTAAAAGAGCGGGGAGGGTTCCTAGAAGGAGGGTTTGGCAATTTCTGGAGCAAGAAGATGAGTCAAGAGGACACAGGTATCTCAGGGCCTGCGGGAGTGAGACCCTGAAGGGTAGGGGTGGCCTGTGCTGACAGTGGAGTCATTGGAATGCGTGGAGGGAACTGGAGTGGGCAAGGGTTAGTTAGCAGGGAACAGGCTGCAGTTTCTGGGAGAGCCAGCATGGTGTGGCCCATGTTAGCATCAGCCTGACCCAGTACGCCACACAGCAACTTCCAGGACTCTAATCTCGTGATCTGTCTCCTTTGGGAAGGGGTTTTGCTGTAGGTGGGGGCTCTGAAGCTCCAGTTGTGCACATATATGTTTAACCACCTTTTTGCTCTGACTTTGTTGATGCGCGTGCACTGCCTATTTGAGAAAAAGTGGACAGTTAGCTGGTTTTGAAAAGACTGAACTCAATTTTGAGGTTAGTGAGCTGTTATAAATGTCTCCACTTGCTCAGAAACAGTGATTGTGTAAAAGGGAAGACTTTGGACCACATTTCCTGTAGCATGGCATTGTTGATCTCTTTGTCGACAGACTAAATATTGTTTTCATTTCCTGACTATTTCACACCAGAGCACTACAGGGTCTAAAGATGGTCTAATTCAACATCCCAATGAGGGAAGTGAGGACCCCATGGTTAAGTGATTTTCTTGACCTGCACAGTTTGTCAGCCACAATCTTCTAAGGGTCCTGACCCCCACCTCAGATGACAACATGGGGGTCTCTGGGCTGTGCTCATTCTAAGACAAGAAGTGAAGACTCCAGTTCACCCACTGTGCCCTGGGGAAAGAGAGTTCCCAGGTTCTGCAGATCCATCCGTCAGCTCCTCCGAGGAGCATCTCCCCTGTGTTCTCTCTAAGCCTGTAGTAAGAGACATCCCAGGAGGCAGACACGGTGGGTGAGTCCCTTGGTTTTCTCCAAGGCAGTGTGGCTCAGGGGGTGGCAGTTTATCTTAGAGCCCAGGGCATGCAAATCACATCTCTTAACTCCTGATCCGTCTCCCTGTCTGGGCTTCAGTTTTCTCACGACAAAAATGATCATATCTACCTTGCAGATGGGATGATGTGATTTGTTTAAAACGTCTGCTTGAGCTAACTAAGGCTTTCCCTTCTCTTCTTCTTCAGGAAATAATGAAGGAAACTCTGGTCAGAGGGACCTGCTTGTCACAATCTTCCTTTAGACTAGCAGGACACGTCCTGCCTCCTTTTGGAGGGTGGGACTCACCCCTAAGCTGGGAGCCCTGGGGAGTGGTCTGCCCCTCCATGGCTTGCACAATCACATGTCATATAACAATAATCAGGACAACGGGCAACTGGTTGAAGGGCTTTCGTGTTTCGCCCTGTCAGGGGTTTGAGAAGTGGCAGAGCTGTGGCCAGCAGCATCCTCACCAGTGCTCTGCCGCCCGCCAACCCGTTGCTCTGGAGACGCCTCCACAGTACTCACAGGCAGTGGACCACGGTGCGTCCCTCCCTCCCGTCATACTGCTCCTGCCACTTCTCCAGCCGTCGAACCACTTTGAGCAGAGAGCGCTTGGAGGGGGGTGTGTCCCTGTAGGCAGGCCAGCCGATGTACTGGAGGTGCTGGACTATACGATACCCATCCTGTGGCTGAGAACAGAGAGCTTGTTAGGGCTGTTGTTCTACGGGAGCTTGGGATGTAACCTTCCAGATACCCTGGCTGGAGCAGGGGAGGGTGGCCGTGGGAGGGCTTTAGCATAGTGGAAGACTTGCTAAAGTCTTGACATCATGGGGACAGTCACAGGCTATCCCCACACATACATCTACAGCTTTGTGCACACTGATTCCCTTTCCTTTCTACCTGGAAAACTCCTACTCAGTCTTCAAAACCCAATTCAAATGCCCCTTTCTTTCAAAATACCTTCCCTGATTCTACTGGGCAGAGTTCTTTCTCTGTGAGGCTCATGTCAGAACACATCTCACCTTCCCTTTAGAGACTAAACTGAGGGTAGTGGCTGACTTATATTCAGCCTGAGCTCCCAACAGAGACCAACAGTTAGCTACCATTTCATAGGTTACCAAGCTGCCCCCTCCTGCCCAGTGCTCCTCCACTCAGCCAGGGAGTATCCTCATGAAAGCACAGTACTCTCAGTACTTGCGGGACTACCCCAGAGCTTTTATATCCAATCAGTCTGCATCAACTGGTGCCAAAATAGCGTGGCACCGTGGGGAAGAGCTAATGTCTGGGAAGTTTTGTCTACACAGCGGCAAGTGTGTCAGGAAACAGGCAGATGGCAGGCTGGATGTCGCCCTCTGCATCTTTGCTGGAGTCACCGCTGGCTGTGGAACCGGAATTGGCAAAGGCATCACTTCCCGAAGGAAGAGATTATCAGGAGAGCGTAACACAGACTCTTGGCTGGCTGGGTGGGATCCTCTCCGGCAGCCTCCATCTGTTTGGGAAGGAGACAAGGCAAGCCGTGGCAGCCCTGCACCTACCCGAGCCATGTTACAGATGCGGAATATCCTGTGGATGATGTCCTCGTCGATGTCCGCGGAGACGAACTCCACCTGGATGGGTCCGTAGCACCCGGAGGTCTTCTCGGGCCAGTACTGCATACAGAGCTGGGGCAAGAAAAGAGGTGACAGAAGCAGGCTGAGGACACAGGGTAGGGGGTGGACATCAGTGCCATTTCTTATCGGACTAGAGTGGTAGAATATCACATAGAAACTGAACTCAGCTTTCCTATTTGGGAGAAGATTTTTGGTATTGCAATGTCAAGGCTCTGAACACAGAAACACTGGGTGAAGCATCTTTGCTGGGCCGATTTCAAACCATTTGTTAGATTTGCTAGACTTCAGTTTCCTCATCTGTAAAGTGGAGAGAACAATATCTACCTTGAAATGCTGCTGTCAGGATTAGAAGAGATATGATATGGATTTATTTTCACATGAAAGTTGTGGCAAACTTTCCCTCATTCCAGGAAAACCTACAATGTTCGTTCATGATCAGATAATGATTAACTTTTTTTTTTAAAAGACAGGCTTTTGCCTAGGAAAGTCTTAGGTCCAAATCCAGGCTCTGCTGCTTAGTACTTTTGTGTCCCAGTTCTCAGTTTTCTCATATGTAAATTAGGGACGATTATGTTTCCCTTGCACTATAGGAAACATCACCTGTATTGGATAGGTCTTGTTGATACTTTTTCCAATTTTCTGGGATTGGGAATCAGAACTCATAGCCAAGAGCAGTAGGGAATTGTCACCCTTCAGTCTAAGAGGGTAGTTCTCAGTCAGAGGCAGTTTTGTCCCTCCAGGTGACATCTTCCAATGTCTGAAGACACTTTTTATTGTTCTACTTGGGAATTGCTATAGGTATCTAGTTTATAGAGACCAGGATGCTGCTCAATACACCCCCCCCCAGTGCATAGGACAGTCCCCTTGGGAAGTTATCTGACCCTAAACACCAGTAGTGCAGAGACTGAGAAATCTTGGTTGTTCATGTGTATGGGTATCATCTTGAAAGAGAGATGCATGCTTCATCCACTGTATCTGGTGAGCTGCTAGGTGACTTTCATTAGGGAGACAATATTGAAGTGGCCCTGGGTTGGCTGCAGAGGTACTGATCGGTTTCCAAGGGGCATAGAGATGCCAAGGTGCACAATCCCCAGAGCTGGACCATAGAGAACAGCTAAGATTAGGGGTGCAGGCCTATGGGGGCCACTCTAGGATGGGCAGAGGCCATGTGATGGAAAGACCATGTGGGCGTTACCCAGGAGGTTTAGCTGAAACTCACAAAGACCCACCAAGGCTTCTGAGAGCAGTTTGGGCCTGAGTTTCCCATCAGTGGTGTTAGCCACTGGCCCCACTCCATGCAGACAAGGAGTTAGATTGACAGAGGTGACCCTTGGAAAGGTGGTGGTGGCCTCCTCGGGTACAGGGTTTTCACAGAAGAGAGGTGACATTCCCCTTTGTTGATGGAGAACAAACTCATTCCGGGGAGTCACATGCCAAAATGTCTTTTATTCTCTTCTTTCTCCAGAACTCAAATTAGAAGGGAAGAAAAGAGAGGAGAGGAGATGTGAGAGAGGGAAAAATCACATCTCCCACCTTCCTAATGGTGGATACCCAGAATTCTAACTTAGGGATAACATCGTTCACCCTACAGCAGTGGTCAGCATACTACTGCCCCAAACCTGTAGTAAATAAAGGTTTATAAATAAAGTTTTATTGAAACATGGCTACACTTACTTTTTTACGTATTGTCTATGACTTTGTTGTGCCATCACCAAAGGTAGTGTTGACAGAGGCCCTGTGGCCTGAGGAGCCTATAGTATTCCCTGTCCAGCTCTTTACAGAAAACTTTTGCCAACTCCTTCTCTGCAGGTTTGTTATGAGAACAAAGGAGATAATTCATGTCAAGAAAGCCCTTAACACAGCACCAGGCATGGAATAAGCACTTATTTGAGAGTGCAAATAGTTGTTATTACGTAGTTATTGCCATTATCTCATTACCATCGTGCACATGTTCCTCAGCTTACAATAGGGTTAAATTCCCCATAAATGCACCTTAAGTTGAAAATACCCTAAGTCAAAATTGCACTTAATATACCTAACCTACCCAGCACCCCAGCCGAGCAGCACAGAGATACTGTATGCCCTTGTGTTTGGGGGACTGGCTAGGAGTTCCAAATTCAAAATCTGAAGTGTGGTTTCTACTGAATGCATGTCACTTTCATTGAAAAGTCAAAAAATTCTAAGCTGAATCATGGTAAGTCGAGGAGAATCTGTATATCAAATCTGAAGGATTCTTCTCATCAGCCCTTTAAGTAGCAAGGTCAGGCTTCATAAGCCAATGTGCCTTGCTTTCCCAGCATCTTCATCAGGATTAACGGAGCATGTGGAGAAGGGCGATGTGTGGGGGGCGGGGAGGGCCGGTCACAGGGCCTCCGTGGCTGGACCGTCTGCAGCTGCTGAGCTGTGCAGTAATGACAAACCCACAGTTTGAACTTCATTTCTCTTTGCCATTGGCTCTTCTGCCTTGCAACCTTCTCAGTAATGAGGGACTGGTACAGATAAGTCTGTGGCAGGCCGGAGAAATTGGAATTAATCAGAATTGCCCATTTGAAAAAAAAAATAATTGCCTCTATTGCCTGCATTGAACTTAGCCTTGCCAGAGTTTGTCTGTGATCCTGACACGGGGTGCATGGATCCAAGGCATCAGAGAAAGTCTATTACCCCCAATATTTTCAGCCTGGAGAGAATGTGGAATGATTTGTCTCTTTTAATAAGATTTCCAGAGCAATTTCTCAAGCTAATAGGGTCTACTATGCCTCAAACAAGATGCCTACGCTTTGGGACACTTCTCAGCATTTGATTTTCCAGGTCACTCTCCCATAATGCTCAGGGGCCTGGGGAAGGTTGAAGGGCCCTTCTAATCCTAAATCAGAGTCATCCTTTCACTCCGGTTCCCTAATTTATGAGACCACATCTGCAACAGTGCGGGTGACATTCAGCCGGGTGATGTGGGTTTGAGCTGCCAAGGATCGTCAGCGTCTTCCTACAGCCCGTGACATTGCATCTCATTTAGCCACAGAAAGGCAGGGAAAGAAGTGGGGTGGCGGGGGGCACCCGTTTTGTTCCCAGTAACCCTTTGGGGCTCAGATATGATTCTCATCAGCAAGAAACATCCTCTATGGTTTAGCTCAAGACTGACCTGGTGTCCGAGTGTGTGATTGCAAGTGGACCAGAACCATCTACTTGGTCTGTGTATATTGTGTAGCAAAAGGGTGGGGAAATACATCAAGGTCCCCACTTGGAGTGCCCTGGGTCCAGGTCCCAGCTGTGGTCACTTTCTAGCTGAATGACTGGGCCAAGTCCCTTAGCTTCTCTGGGTTCTCATGAGTGACTGGGAATTTTAATGTCTCCTCACACATGAGCCTGAATCAGCTGAGCACTCTGCTGTTATTATTAGGCAGAATGGAGAAGGGTTGCTCAAAACAAGATATTCACAAGGAAGGCTTTTCTTCCCTCTTCTTTCTAGTCCATAGGAAATTTCCTTTTAAGGAAATATCCACAAGACTACCCTTGTGACAGTTCCTGATGGGTCAGCTTTGGGTAGCTGTGGAGACAGGCACCATCCTGGGTAGCAGGACAAAATTCTGCATACCAAGGAAAAGAGACCTGTAGGTTGTTCTAGAGAGAGACTCAGAAAATTAAAGAGGATGTTGGGAGGGTAGTGGAACCACTGGAAGGTAGAAGGTGACTCAGAGCCTCATGTGATCCCTTCCCCAACCTCCCAGTTACTCCATGCATTTCTAATAGCTGCACAATGCTCTCTGTCCATGCTTCCTGAATGAAAAATCCTCTATGGGAGTGAATTGGAGATCACATGTGCATGGAGGGGCCAGACCATGGGCACCAGTGCATCAGCAGCTTATAGAACTCTTGGGGTTTCCTAAGACCCTGGAAGTAAAGATTAAAGTAAAGATTAAACTTGGTTCTCTAAGATCATGAGGATCTGTCTGACTTCAAGGCCACACCTAAACTCAGTGCAGCTGGGAAACTTGAAGCTGGTTGTCTCTAAGAACAGACTCCAATTCCTTAGCCTGGAATCTGGACCAGCTGAGTTTTCTCACCTCATTGCAAAGGTTCCCCCCTCCCTTCCTCCATAGTCTGGGGAGGACACAGTGGCCAAAGGGAGGGTCTGACCTGCAGAGGTACATGGGTAGAGGCAATCAGCACATTTGGGAGGGGAAGCCAGTCCAGTTGTTCTGATGATTTAGAAATGGCCACACTCCTTCCAGAAAAGCGTAGGGGCTTCTGCTATTTATTGTCAGGATGAATTAAACCAAGCAGAAGTTGAGATGCCTGTGTGTACAGCCCTGGAACAGCTGCCACACATTATTCTACCTAGTGATCTCCATTGCTGCTCGGACCGTGAAAAGATGTCCTTTGGGGGTGCAAGTTCACGCGTGAAATATAACAAATGCAAGGTAGCTTCCCTTGTTAAACATCTTTTTCTTGCTGATGGAATGAGAAAGCTTGTTAGTCGCTAGAATAAACATGCTCTGATGAGTTGAATGAAAACTAGCAGACAGGCCTATTTTTGAAAAAAAAAAAATTTTAAAGCATCTTTCAGTGCACCTTAGTTATGCCTTTTGTTAATTAAAAAATACTTTGATAAAATGGAAAGGCCAATCTTTCAGAAATGAAAGATTCTACCTCTCCAGATCTCTGTGATCCAGAGAGAGAAAAGTCAATTCCAGGACACCTAAATAGGAAGTCAATTAGTATTTTAAAAAGAGTAATAGAAAAGAGTCGTCTGAATTGGTTTTAAAATTCAAATCAGTAAATGTAAAATTCCTGTAAACCGATTCTATAAAAATCTATAATTGGCTTCAACACTATGACCAGTTAAAGAAGACAAACTGTGGGGTCAGGAGCAATAGACACAGGAGAGATAGAGATAGATAGATAGACAGACAGACAGACAGACAGACCAACCCTAAATGGTCATGCTCCCTGCTCGTGGTGGGTGGAAACTTGATCCATCTTCTAACAGCTAGATCCTAGTGTGTTTCTGAGAAGGAAAAGTGGGGGCTTAGGACAATACTTTCAAGAGTGTGCCTGGGTGGGAGGAAAGGCTGGGGGCTAAGGAGACAGCTGAACTTCACAGTTGAAGAAAGGAACAACTTTGGGGGAGGGTGTGGGAGGGCTGAGAGAGAGCAGATGGGAAGAAAATGGTTTGCACCATGAGTTGCAGGAAGATGTGTTGCTGAAGTCCAGGGGAAGAAGTGAGGTGGGGTATAAGAAAAAAGTGAAGGTCAACCTTCAGTCACAGGATTGCTACAACATGAATCTCACATTGTCCCCACTAAAGCCTCAGCTAGAACTTGGGAGTGAATATGAGCATAGAACCCCACCATTCCCCCAAGCCATGGGGGTGGATATCGGGTTTTCCCACAGCATGGGTTGTAAGGAATGTAGCCAAGTTTGTTTAAACGTCAAAGACAGAGGGAACTTGGCTGACACCTGGGTTTTACTAGCCTAACAGAGGATGAGTTAGAGGCTTCCGGGGGGAGTCAAGAAGCTGACTCAGGGAAGTATACTGCGAAAAGCAAGGGTAGAACTTGAACTCAGGTCCTTGACCCAAGACTTTCAATTCTACTATTCCTATTGTGGTGGGGAAGAGAGAGAGACAGCCCCCGGCAGAGTCAGACCTGAGGCTGGCTGAGGCAGAGCTGGGCATGATGTATATTTTGTTAGCATGTTAGGCTGTGTTTTCACAAGCCGAGATAAAAATGGGGATATCAGTGCTTGCCATTTGCCCTGCAGGTACAATGACAGCAAAAGACATCTCTGAAACATCACCCTGTTTTTCTCCTGGCAGGATGGAGAGCTTGCCTCTCTGGCTTCCAGATATCCTCACCTCCATGGAGATAATCAGAGCCTGCTCTTTACCTCTCCACCTGCATCTGTGTCACCTGACTTCTCACGTTTTCCACAGTGGGAGCTTCAGAACTGGGCAACTCAGATTTTATATAAGATGTGGGCTCTCGTTTTTTTTTTAAAGTTAGGAAACATTCCTGCCTTCTCCATACATCTAGGTACCAGCAGATCCATGATTATCAGATACTGGGGCCTGGGAATCTGTCACTAAACAATTGCAAACATCTTCTTCTTGGCAGGAGGCCCTGGGCAAAAGTCAGCCATGGACTGTGTGACTTTGTTCAAATCCCTTCCATATTTGGGCCTCAGTTTTCTGATCTGCAGTGTGAAATCAGTAGTTTCCAAAGTGGCATCTGTAAAGTTAACAATGAGCTGTTTCCAAAGTCTTTGAAAATAAAAGGAGGGTCACCTGTTGTTCTGGAGGGTGGAACCCCTGTCTCTGGCTTTGGATTGGAATTAGAACATCTTACTGTATCAGTTCTACATATGTCCTGCAGATCAGAATTTCAAAAATGCAAGAAAAGTAACTCATTATTAACTAGTAAATACAGTTGGGGAAACAAAAGCTTTCAAAAGAGCCTGCCCATGGACGGAGGATGTGGGAAATACTGAAAGGCATTTGGAGGAAATTTGGATCATGGAAGCTCTAAGATTTAAATAGGATAAAAGGTGCTCCTTAGAATTAGTGACAAGCAAAATAATGAGAAACTCCCAGGGAGACTCCAAGTATAATCAATGTAATAAATCAACCAAATATTCAAGGAGAGGTGAAGTGCTAGCTCTTATGAT